CTTCTAATAATTTAACCGAAGTAATAAAATACTTGAAGTAAATTCAAGATGTTTCTCTTAATGCGGAATCAAAGTACGAAGCAGAACATCTGCTACCTGCTGTAAAAAAATTTTGAATTTATTATTAACTTAGCAATTTGGGCTAATATTCTTCGAGAAATCAATCGAGTAAATATTCGAATTGAAGAAGAAATTATTCTCAGGTGTTCCATCTAATTAATTGAAGGTCTGACCAAAACTTTGCAAAAATTGGAGAACATCGTTTGGAATATTAAATAGAAGAGGCTGAAATAGCAGCCCAAAAAATTGAGCTTCAACATTTTCAGACAAATAAAATGAGTTTTAAAGCGCAAAAGTCAAATGAATGAATTGCGAAGACTTCAACTTGTTCAGCTACTTTCTAAGGCAATAGAGATTGTATTTGATTGAATCTCAACAGAAATTAGAACGAGTGTTAATAACGCTACTACACTAAATTCAAATTTTGCATTTATCAATGGTTTCACAATGGTGAAATACTGGATATGTCGACTGAAGAAGGGAAAAAGGGATGAAAATGTGAGCGAAACCTAAACACAGTTGAATACTGTCAGAGATCGTCGTTCTGAAGTCCCCACTATTATTCAGGTTACACTATGAAAAAGGCTAAGGCTTAATATCTCTTTAAATAAATATATGCCTATTGTTTGAAAGATGCTTTTAACATTATTCGTATTGCGCTACGAATTTACTCTACGCTTCCGATCACATCCGCAAGCTGTGAGAGACGTTTCAGCAAATTCGAACTTGTAAAAACTATCCGCGATCACCAGTGAGCCAGGAACGTTTATTAAGTTTCGCGTTTCTAGCATTCGAGAACAAAACTGAACATCTAATTAAGTATGACCATGTCATAGACTTATTTGAGGAATTAAGACTCCCGGCATACAATTTTAATGTTTATTACTAATTCTGTAATATTTTAATAGCGTTAGAGGACAGATAAGAGCTTAAAATTGCTAATGAAACAGGAAGTAACAAAAACAAGATAGGAAAAAAATACTAACCGGTTCCTTTCAGCGACAGTTCGTATTCTGTACGAAATGAATATAGAGTGGTGAGAAACTTAGGGAATGGCCGATTCCCCAAGGGTAGAAAAGCATGAATGGTGCTGAGGATTGGAGGATTGGAGGATTTGAAGCACTCATCCCTGAATTCAAAGGTAAGTTCACCGGAGAGGCAACTTCCTTAGGAAGGAAGATCGGATGGTGATGTATCTAAAAAATTGGTAGAGAAACTTGAGGATGGACAAGGTCGGCAGTTTTAAATTTTTGCCCTACTTCGAAAAAATCCAAGCTCCGACTCTGCTTTCTCGTTCTACTCTAAATCACGAATAACTGAAACCACGGATATTGAATCATCGGATACGATGAAGAGACCAGGGGAATTGTTTCTAGTACTCTGAGGAACGAAACACTTAGTTCTCAAACAAGTTATAATTAATTTATGGCATTTTCTGAAGAATAAGATTTTGGATATATGGATGACGGCTTTTCTCTTCTTAGAAGTCTCAAACTTCATATAAGATTTCGTTTTCCAAAATAACGATGAATACATGAGTCAGAATCGATTTGCTTATTACTCAATAAAATTTTATGATATAAAAAGAATTTTTTGATGAAAATGTGGTCCGAATAAGCAATAGAAATGCAGCTTAATTGTGACTAGCATCAAACACTTTTAAAGGAATGATATTCTTCGTATACACCTTTATATTTTTCTCTATAATATACAATATACAACGTGATCATAACATAAATAATTGTACATAACTAAAGCTAAAAATTAGGTTAAAATATTAACAAAAGTTTTGAAAAAGGAGTTTATTAGATTTATGTTTATTTTTTATAATTATTAATTTTATTTTGCAAACATAAACAGGTTTCCAAAAACAAAACTACAGATTCTCATTGCACAAAAGTTTGGTTTTAATAAATGTAATGGCTGCACTTGATGTGTTGGTGCAATTTTTTTATATTTGACATAAAATTTCTTAATTTAATTTTTAACTCGCCTAGTTTAAAAATATTCAGCCTGTTTTCTTATTTTCTATTCGTTTTGCATTCTTTGTATTCTTAGTTGTGTTTTTTGTATTCTTCGTTTACTTTTTTATATTGCAATATTGCACTTACTGCATAAAAAGTTTGTGAATTAAAAATTACTACTTATTTAAAATATTTCAGGGTATTTCCCTCCAGTGCAAATGAAATCTCACTTCGAAACTCCTTAAACGCGTTAAGAACTCGAAAAGAGAGATCATATTGGCCTAATTTCATTCATCAGGGCAACGCTTAGTAGAAACGCCCTTTCAACGTATTGTAACCTCCTTGCCATAAAAATGCAGAGCAGTTTGAAGTTAAATTGCAAACCTAAAACGCCGAAGAAATCTTCTCAACTAATTATCTGGAGATAAGTCGTTTTCAAAATTCACGAAATTTCTCGGGAAAAAGGAAGTTATCATGAAGAGCGCATATATGCATTGCAACAATCCCTGAAAAAGACATTGTCCCAGTACGAACAGATGGTGGTTCTGATATTACTTAACATATAGATTGTGTTATTAGCAACGAGTAAATATATTTTTTTAATTAATTTTCTGAGACATTTCTTGTCTCATTAATTTAGTATCTCACGAATTCAGCCTGGGTTATGCTGCCGGAATTAATTATTCTAAATTTTTCAAATAGTGCTTCTTTTCTAATTTTTCTGCTTTTCAGAATATTTTTAATAAAATTTTCCAAAGCGTTCATTCGTTATTTGTATGTAATTAAGTACGTACTGTATTATTGACCTCATAAAAATAAAAACTTCTGAGCATAAAACTGACGTCCTTGAGGACTCTTTTTTTTTTTTTTTATTTATGTAGCCACAGGTCAAGGCCACGGGAAAAGGGCACCAGAGCCCTTTTCTCGTGGCCTTGTGGCCCGTGGCCCACACCTAAGCATGTGTGACACCGATAAATACAGTTCCCATTCCATAAGATCAAATAGCAGGTTTCTGATGATAAAACTAATTCTGTCATTTGATGTAGCAGCCAAGTGACTGGTCAGAAAAGTCACGGGATGACACGGAATCAGGAGATTGGTGAAAAGCACAGACTTTATCTGTTGGTGGAAGAAACGAGTGAGATTTAGCAGGCTTTCCGGGAAGTAAGGTATGCGGAGACACACATTCGAACTTGGGGCTCCGAGCTGGATGAGTGCATTTCTGCTCTACTCCAGCGGCGGAAACTGTCTAACTAGCTGAGAGTATGAAAAGGAATTTTTCTCTCGCTCGTACCTTGTATTAAGATTAAGCTACTTAAGTGTGGCGCTTATTAGCACCCCCTTGGTATCTTGTGAACCGGATGCTTTGCCAGATTTTGTTAATCAGTATAGTCTACCAAAGCAGAGCAAACACAAATTTTCTGCATCGCAGATTCTACTCTTTTTTCCTAAAGCCACAGGGTAGTCTGTGATTAGAGGTCTTTTGGAAATCTCAATTTCACTGTCGCAATCTCAACTGTCGCAATTTTTATTCTCTGTTTTCTGTTCAGTGGCTGGGGTCGGTCTTAACGTTTTTCTCCCTTATGCATCGGTTTCATAGTGTGGAATAGTGGTGGTTCCTGGTTTCTTCATTTGATAGCCGGAACGTTGGTTCTTGGAACGTACGTCGTTGAAGACTGCTGCATGGACACTCTTCGTTGCTTTGGGTCATGTTGAGAGCCTTGAGCCTCGGCCGGTCTCTTTGTTCTACCCAGCGGTGGTCTTGTCGTTCTTTCAGTCAACCTCGTCTTCGCTGTATTCTGGTGTTGTCTACTACGAGACCTTGTCATAGCACGGCCATCCTTGTTCTTGGCTGGGGCCTTTCTTCTGGAAGATTCCGTATTCTGAAATTTCTTCCTCGCTGTAGCTTCTGTCTATCTTGGCGTTCTTTTCTGGTGCACACATCGAGTTGTTTCCGGCCTTATTCTCTCGTCGGTTCTTTCTTTTTCTCAGGGGGTGAAAGCGCTGCTGGTACCGAAACCACTGTTGTTACTGCTGCCTCTTCTGTCTCGGAAGCCTGCAAAAAACTATTTAGAATATCAAAATCTTTTCTGTCGTAATACTTCTTTAATTGATCCAGATTGGCCTTTATTCTTTCGCCTGAATTTGAAGTAATATAAATTACTGCCCCGACGATCTGTTGAACGATATCACGGCAATTATATAAAACTTGTTATACGGAAAATTTCCATAAATTGATTCCAGCGAAGGAAACACGCCAGCAGTCTCCTAAAACTTTAAGTGAACATCTGATCTTTGCACTTACAAAAGTTAAGTAGAATTGTAAATTCTACCTAAGAGCGAAGATCAAACGCCCACTTAGAGTTTCAGAAGCTTGCTGGCATGTTTCCTTCGTTGGAACCGCTTTTGATGAAAAACTGCTTTAAAACTAATTTTGTATAATTACTGCCCAGATTTTGCAGAGTACTGGATCTTCATTATATCTCTTTTTATTAAATTTACATTTTATATGCTATGTAATTCTAAAAATAAGCTTCGAAGAGGAGGACTATTAGCACATTCTAATAAATTGCCTAGATCTGAAGAATTTCCTTTATTTCCAAATTTTTACCTTATGTCTCCATAACCTGTATTTATTCCATTCGTCTTCCTATTACTGATAGAAAAAATTACATTTACGTGAGAGATTTGGAATACAGAAGTTCATATGAATGTTGAATAAAGAGAACAAATCCGGCATTCTGTTATAATTGGCTAATATTCTCAATAATAAAATTTTAAGAAAACAGCTTCATTCACATGAATAAACTAAATACGTAGGTTGATGCAAAAAAAGTTTAAAAGCAGAAGCATTTGAAAAGTAATAATTTTGGAGCGAATATTTCCACCCAGGGTGGTTGACAGATGGCGCTAGTTGTCCTACAGCGGTTCTACGAGTAAGTAGCGTCAATACGCAGACACTTAAGAGCGACAGTAATGGTACGACGTCTAGAAAAGTGGTCTCGCATAGAGATGCGAGCCGTAATTCTATTCTTATGGGCCAAGAATGTGCCCGCATCCGAAATTCACAGACAAATCGTTGAGGTATACGGAGACAAAGCAATGAATAGACAACAGGTAGCGAAATGGTGTCGTTCTTATCAAGCGGGCAGGGAACATGTGGAAAACCGCAGTATGGAAGCGAGCGGCCTTCCAAGTTCTTCAAGGACGGATATCAACATGGCACGTGTTGAAGAAACCATCCAAAGGGATCGACGAGTAACCGTGCGTAAGATTGCCTCAGAGTTGGACCTGAGTTATGTGGAGCAATTCATAATGACAGCGATGAAGCAGCTGTACACTCCGACGTTAATTTACCCTCACCCTCGCTAACTGTGATTGGACTTGATCCAAAAAGAAGGAGAAACATTCTCTCCTTGTATGACTTACTTCTCGCGTTATGCAATGGATAGTAAACAACGCTTGTAATCATCGCTAGATATTTTTTCTTCTAATACCTAATAAATATGTTATTTTTTTGTTTTCTAATATAATGATCGTGTTCCTTACATCGGCAGCTTGGATTACACTTTATTAAGGTAAGAACTTAAATTCTGTTTTATTCATCTGCTCGTCTCGATTTAGCGAAGTTGTAACAGTAAACAAAAATGAACCACGAATACATTCAACAATAGATTATGAGACCGAGAATATGTTTACTTCAACTAAACGCATAAAATATGTCGAGATAAGCTATCAAGAATAAAAAACAGAAAAAGATACTTTGCCATAAATTACCGCTGGATAATCCGAAAAAGGAAAAGCCAAGCTTGTCTTCAAAAGCGAAACAAAACTGCATAGTTGTGTACTGCGCATTCGAAATACAGAAGCAGAAATGGCTACTAGCTGCGAAAATAAATATTCGATCATGAAACTAAACAATAACAACTATCAAGTATGGAAATACAAACTTGAAATGATCCTGAAAAAGGAAAATTTATGGGATTTAATAGCAGATGATACACCAAAAGAAATAAACGTCGAATGGAGAAAACGAGATGAACAAGCACAAGCTACCATTAGTTTACTCGTAGAAGACAACCAAATCTTACACATACAAAATAAAACGACAGCCAAAGAAATATGGAATGAATGAAAGAAAATACATGAAAGAAAGAATCTTTCCAGTTAACTTTACCTTCTGAGAAAGCTGTATACGTTAAAAGCAGAAAACGAATACAAACTTGAAGAACATGTCAACAAAATGCTCGAAATCGTAGACGAACTGCGAGGAATCGGTGAAGAAATAAAGGACAGTAACATTGTAGCGCTCTTACTAAGCGGCTTACCAAAAAGCTACGAAAATCTTATTATAGCTTTAGAAACACGCCCAGAAGAAGAACAAACGCTGGAATACGTAAAAACGAAACTCATCGACGAATGCCTAAGAAAAGAAGGCACGCGAGCAGAAGAAACGACTACCTTCAAAACGAATTTTAACACAAATTCAAGCATTTCAATCAACGAAGATGCAATTACTCCAAAAAAAATAGGACACTTAGAAAAAGAGTGCAGATTTTTAAATAACCACAAAGAAAAAGATAAAAACGAAAGTAACTCATTTTTCAAGAATGAAAAGCAAACAAATAAAGGAAATTATGGAAATAAATAGAAAACGAAAGTTGCTGTAAACGAGGATACACGTGAAGATGAAAGTGAAAATAAGAATCATGAGAAGACTGAGAATTACACGTCGAAGTCACCAGAGAAAGAAAATTTCAAAACTCAAGCTGGTCAGTTGACTCAGGTGCTACTTGTCATATGACCGATAACATTAACTTTTTCACCAAATTGGATAGAAGCAAAACTGAGCAGATAACAATTGCTAACGGCACGCAGATGAAGTCCGAAGGTATAGGAGAAGGATACTTATACTGTACAGACGACGAAGATAACGAAATAGAAGTGAGACTCGTGGATGTTCTGTATGTCCCTGACTTAGAAGGAGGATTGATATCCGTAAGAAAAATTACAAAGAAAGGATTTGCAGTTGAATTTGAAGAATATATTTGCAGAATAAAGAAGAAAGTTAAAACCATAGGAATTGCTAAAGCAGAAGGAAATTTATGTACCGTAGTTGAATCGCAAAGAAGAAAAGCCAAAATTGCAGCTGCAGAAAGAAGAGAAAATAGTATAGATCTTTGGCATAGAAGGCTAGGACACAGAAATTATGAAGCAATCAAGAGGCTAAAGAGTGATGACTAGGCAACCGGAATAACGATTGACGGAGAAGCCAAAAAGGAAAAAGAATGCGAATGCTGTATCAGAGGCAAAATGACTGAATTGCCGTATCCCAAGCTAAACAACTATAGAACAAAATCAGTTCTAGAATTGATACATTCAGATATTTGTGGACCAATCGGTACAACATCACTAGGAGGAAAGAAATATTTCATAACATTTATCGACGATCATTCCAGATATACAATGATCTATCTGCTAGCTACAAAAGATGAAGCTATCTCCAAATTAAAACAATTTGTAACCATGACGAAGAACAAATTTAGAAAGAAGCCTAAAGTCTTAAGAACAGACAATGGAGGAGAATATACAAGCAAAGAGATTGAAGACGATCTAAAGGAAGAGGGAATCTAACATCAAACCTCCGTAGCATATTCACCGCAACAAAACGGTAGAGCAGAAAGAAAAAATCGATACTTAATGGAAATGACAAGATGCCTGCTACTCGATTCAGGACTCAAAAGAGAATTTTGGGGTGAAGCCGTAATGACAGCCACCTATCTACAAAACAGGCTACCATCAAGATCAGTTGAAAAAAACACCGTATGAACTATGGAATAATAAGAAGCCGAATCTAAGCCATATCAGAGTTTTTTCGGCAGCACAGCTTATTGTCGAGTTCCAAAGCAGAAAAGAAGCAAACTAGACGAAAGAGCAGAAAAAGGAATTCTTGTTGGATATAGTGACCGTACTAAAGGATATAGAATTTACATGCCACATGCAAACAACGTCGTGATCAGAAGAAGCGTAATATTCGATGAAAACAAAAAAGAAGAAATGCCTCGTCAATTAAATGATCAGCATGAGGAAATAGAATGGCCTTTTAAAGAAAATAAATTGACAGAACCACGTCCAAATGCTATTACAGAGGAAGTAATTGAAACAGAAGAAATTCCCCCATTACCGAGAAGATCCCACAGAACGACTAAAGGAATCCCACCAAACAGATTCTCATACATGGCTAAGAATGAAGAAATCAAAGTTCCTAAAGACTGGGAAGAACTTCAAACTTTTCCTACCAAAGAAAAGGAACTGTGGTTAAAAGCTACGAAAGAAGAAATGGAAGCACTGAAGAGGAACAAAACATGGGAACTAGTCGATCTTCCAAAAGGAAAGAAAGCAATTGGAAACAAATGGACATTTAAAACAAAATCCGACGCTTCAGGAAATGTTATCAGATATAAAGCTCGTTTAGTAGCTAAAGGATATTGCCAAAAATTTGGGCACGACTACGACGAAACATTCGCACCAGTCGTAAAATATACAACAATAAGGACTATTTTGGCAATAGCAGCTCAAAAGAAAATGCACGTAAATCACTTCGATGTAAAAACAGCTTTTCTATATGGAGATCTGAAAGAAGATATATATATGAAGCAACCGGAAGGCTACATCTCTGCTTCAGAAGCAAATAAAGTCTGTAAACTGAATAAAAGTATCTACGGACTAAAACAGGCAGCCAGAAACTGGAATCACAAGATAGCTGAAATCCTGCGCAAACAAGGATACGTTCAAGGAAAGGCTGATCCATGTTCCTTCACACTAATCGAGAAAAACGCAAGAACTTACATAATCGTTTACGTTGATGACATATTAGTCGCGAGCGACAAGTGTGAATCAATTCAAGAAGTTGAACGAATTCTCAAAGAATATTTCGACATTCGAAATCTTGGAGAAGTGTCTACATATCTAGGAATTGAAATCGAAAGAGAAAAAGACGGAAGCTTTAAACTTCATCAAGCTAACAAGATTAAGAGTATGATCGAAAAATTCGACGGAGAGTCACCAAAGAAACTAAGCTATACACCCATGACTACGAATTTTACGAAGAACCAAAACAACCAGGATGACGTTTTTCCCGATAATCGGAAGTATAGGGAAGCAGTGGGAGCACTTTTATATTTAGCAACAGTATCAAGACCTGACATAGCAAATTCTGTTGGAATACTTAGCAGAAAAGTAGAAAATCCATCAACATCGGACTGGAACGGTATCATTAAAATCATACGATATCTTGAGAGCTACAATTAATTACAAATTACATCTAAAATCCAATGGTGCACCAGTCATCAAAGCTTACAGTGACGCTGATTGGGCAGGAGATACCTCTGACAGAAAATCCACATCCGGATATATATTTCAAATAGGAAACAGTACGGTATCATGGGGAAGCAAGAAACAAAATTGTGTCGCCCTATCTTCGACAGAAGCCGAATACATCGCTCTAGCCTTAACATTGCAGGAGCTACAATGGATTAGACAACTGATGGAAGATTTAGGTTTCGCTCAACAGGAAGCTAACATCGTATTCGAGGACAATATATCATGCATAAATCTTTCCAGAAAAGAAAAAGGAAGCAGTTACACCAAACACATCGATGTGAAATATCACTACGTATGTGATCTACAAAATCAAGGGATTGTTAAATTAATACACTGCAACAGTAAAATGATGTATGCAGACATGTTCACGAAACCTTTGCCCAGACAACAGCTGGAATTTTTATTAAAAGGAATCGGCCTTACTTCGGACGGAACAGCTCATCGAGTGGGAGATTGTGGAGCAATTCATAACGACAGCGATGAAGCTGTACACTCCGACGTTAATTTCCCCCTCACCCCCGCTAACTGTGATTGGACTTGATCCAAAAAAAGGAGAAACATTCTCTCCTTGTATGACTCACTTCTCGCGTTATGCAATGGACAGTAAACAACGCTTGTAATCATCGCTCTAGATATTTTTTTCTTCTAATACCTAATAAATATGTTATTTTTGTTTGCTAATATAATGATCGTGTTCCTTACCTCGGCAGCTTGGATTACACTTTATTAAGGTAAGAACTTTAATTCTGTTTTATTCATCTGCTCGTCTCGATTTAGCGAAGTTGTAACAGTAAACAAAAATGAACCACGAATACCTTCAACAAGTGAATAACGTTCAGCGTATCGAACCAATGAGTTGCGATATTCCAAATTTGTGCCCGCTTTTCCGTGCGTTGTCCGCCGAGCAAAGCCACTCGAATGAGTCGCCTCACATCTTCAGCGATCCATTCAGACGGCCAACACTTCATTGATCACATCGTTACCTGTAA